ATTTTCAAATATCTTTATTTTGGTGAATTTTGGGTTGAGTATTCCTGGGAATTTGGGAGGTATATATAAATACTTGGGGATCCCCACTGGTTGAGATTTTCCATCAACACGGCCATCATCGGGATACTTATGAGCAATTTCATTTTATTGGTTGAACCTTGTCGACTCTGCTTACTTGCCAACAGAGGATCAGATTCATTGTCAGCTTTATGCATTTATTATTGAATTTTCTTTGTTATAGACCTTGAAGCCCTAAAATGAACTGTATAAAATAAATAACTCAGTCGATGCTGAGACCTTATAACTATTTGATAGCTCGAGCTGTGTAGACTCTTATCCATCTACATAGAACGATCGAGCTCGAACTTAAGCTTCGTTTAGGACAGCTTTCTCACTGCTTCTTAAAGCAACTTTTTAGTATAAAAATTTTAATTTTTGTACTAGAAAGCTGCTTTAAGAAGCAGTAAAAAAGCCGTCCCAAACGAAGCCTTAGATTCATTTATTCACTCGCACAGCATCCTCAGACGTCACGTGTGTACCTATAACATGCTCGTCGGGGACAATGGGGGTATATGCTTTTACATGTACTTTGCATGATGTGCTTGTATAGTGGTTGTATGTATGCAGATATCTATGATCAACATGCATACTCGCACACACACCTATACCTTCATCTGCATATTAATATACTTGTATGTGCATTTATGTATCTTTATGTATGAATGTATGTTGGCGTGTGCATTTGCATTTTGTATGATATGCATGATATGCTTGATATGCATTATTGTGGTTTAGCGCGTTGACATGGCATATAATGCGTTTCTACAATGTATGTATAATGTGTCCATGCATCATCAATTTTATTTGCACATCGATTCAGTACTTTTATACAATGCATAAAGCATTTGTATAATGATGTAGCGTGTTGTCACTACGCAATGCATTTTGCATGTTTAATGGCATGTATGCATGATGTGTTTTGTATTTTGCAACATGTGTATGCATGATTTGGATGCATTAGTGCACATTTCAATGTCTGGGGTGTTTTTGCAATATTCAAATATGACTAATTGCAAAGTTACATTTAACACCTACAAATGCCTTCGATTAACTTGTATGAGTGTTGCGGATCCAGTGGTGTAGCATTGCACTATGATTATTTGCTGCTTCTTGCAGATGAGTTGTTAAGAAATGCACAGGGCTCCACTTGAAAATTTATAAATGTCTTATGTCCACTTGTATGCATTTGTGAATTCGGTGTTGTTTAGTAGTGCACTAGGTCTCATTTCATCTTCTGCATATTACTATCTTCTTCAGCATTTAGCCTGCGAGATTATTTTTGCCTGCAATGTGTTGCATAACGCATCAATGCCTTCCATCTATCTTTTATAGATAAACTGATTTATCTAGCATGATAACCTAGTGTCGTAATTTTACGACCTCAATTTCTTAGCATATATCCCATAGTTTTTACCACTGATTCCCTACTTTGCTTACAGGTGAATCACAGCGTTGTGATATAGGTCACCCGTTGCTTCTTACAAGCGAGTTATTGTGCATTGCAGGCTTTGTTGAATTTGTTCGTCAGTAGTGCGCCATCAGCAGGCGTTAAATAATCGTCAACGGTTGCATGCAAGTGGACTACATTCAACATATATTTTGCTCGTAGGTGGGTCATAGAGCTGTGTTGTGGATTATCAGCTGCTTTAAACAAATAGACTGTCGTGTAGTAATGAATCTCCTACAGTTGCTTGTAGATATTTGTACCCATCACAAGCTTCTGTGTTTGCTTGTAGATAGCTTGTTGTGCATATGACGAGTTTTCTACAACAGCTCGTAGATGACATTTAGTATATATGGCGGGCCTCCAACAACGGCTCGTAGGCATTTGCATTTGTTTCCAATCGTTCACCCTTTCCACGTCCTTGCTGGCAAGAGGCTGTTTGAGAATGAATCCTAAAAAATATTCTCGACTAGACATTAGTTCTTTGTGAGCTGAAGTGATATTTGAATTCCTCCACCTCGACAAACTATTGCAGAGGGTAGATGGGTCTTGTTTTAGGTGTTTGATAGTTGAATTCCAATTTTTAAATATTTTGAATAGTTTTGAAGTTTCAAATTTTGTGGGCAATTAGGAGGCATTTTGAATACTTGGAATTAATTCCTCCAGTTGAGATCTACGTTCAACAAAACCATCATCAGTATATTATGGGCATTTGTATTTGGTTGATTGAACACTGTCAACTCTATTTATTGTCGACAGAGGATCGGGTTCAAGTCGGCTGTATGCTTTTATTTAAAAAAAAAATCTGGTTATAGGACTTGAAGGTCTAATATGAATGTATTAAAATAAATATCTCAGTCGACGCCATGATTGTAGATTTGTTTGTTAGTTCAAGTCATGTCAACTCCTATTTACTAGCATATAAGGGTCGAGCTTGAACCTTTGTTTTTCCAACGCAACATCCTCGGGCGTCACCTGAGTACCAACAACACGCATGTCGGGGCCCATGCAAGTATACGATTGCACACGTATTTTCTTGTATTATGCTTGCATACTCACATATACATTTACACTTTCATTTGTGTATTAAGATGCTTGCACGTGCACTTCTGTATTTATGTGTATACATGTTGTAATGTACGCGTGGGAGCATTTTAAAATGTTTAACTCTGATCAGTTTTGCGAGCAACTCTTGTTTGAGTGTGCATAGCATTTAATTTGAGAGCATATAGACGTCTTATGTTCGATTATATGAGTATTGCAGATCCGGACGTGGCATCACGTTGCGTTATTAACCTATTGCTTTATACAGTTGGATAGTTGTATTCATCGTCAGCTTCTGTATTTTTGCCTACAAGAAATATATTGCGCTAGCTGCAAATCTTTTTCATTCGTGTTTGCAGGATATTCATTATATTTGCACCACATTAGTTGTAGGTGACTTGATGTATTCATTTACAATTAAAAGGTGTTGATAGCAGGGTGTTGTTGCGGTCTCCTTAAATGTGTTCGTAGGATAGCTGACATATAAATGACACATCTAGCATTATCACTTCCTGATAAGCTAGGAGGATTGATGTGTTCTCTTGAAGTTGAATTGTTGTCAATTGCAATTAGGAGACGTTGATCATATGTAGGTTGTATCAATCTTCATTATTCATAGATGTTGTATTGCATTCATCCCACTTTTTTTTTACACTTTGCTTGCACTTAGATTATATAGTTCCCTCCATTCGCTCGATTGTCATATGTTGATATTCAATTGCAAAGCCGATACGAACATAGCACTTCAATCATCAATACCCTTGAATATTTTGCAGTGCTTGTTGGAGTATCTTTCTGCATTCGTTTGCAACTAGTTCACATGTTATTTTTAATTATTGTTGATCATTGCAAGCAAGTCAAGTTTGGGATTTCATCCAGCATTTCTTATTCATTTGGATGATAGGGATCATTTGAATTTTCATTAAGATATATATATATATATACCTCCGCGCTAGACAAAAGCACGTACAAGGCCTACCTGCCTCATCGTAAGCATTGCATTGGATTCTCTTCCCACTACGCTAGAAAAAAGCGTGTATGTGCAATTTTTTTGTGCGTCGCAAATGCTGAAAGCGGCAATTTTGAGTTAAGAGCATTATACCTGTGTGACGAGAGGTTGACGATGGTGATAGTGTCGATGGAAATGACAAAAAAAATCCCTCTCTTTTTCTTCTCTCTTTCTTTTTATTTTCTTACTTTTTTTTATTTTTCATTTTTTTTGCATATGCGTATATATATATATATATATATATATACACACATACATACATGAATGAAATTTACAAATATGTTTATACAACTATTGTGTTATAATTATAATGATTGTACTAAAAAAATCTTTTCAATCATGCTTCTATGTGATTTTAGTTATGTTAGTGCTGTTGTCAATAACACTTAGCATGTCACTATAAAATGTCTGATAAGAATCTTATTCATCCCTCTTTAAACAATCAATCAAACCTTTTAATAATCATGTCAAATTATCTTTGATAAAAGGACGAACATATGTTTTATTAGGTGTTCAAATAAGTTTCAACTATTTTATAAATTTTTTCAATAATGTGTTTTAATCACCTTATTCAAATATGTTCAAACTTAGTTGATTCTATGTGCGACCGTTTGATCGATTACATCAGATTATCCTCTGATGGAAGGGCCGACCATATGTTCAATTTAAGTGTTCGAATAAATTTCAGCTATTTTATAAAATGTTCTAATAATTTATTTTAAGAACCTTATTTCAACATGTTCAAATACTTAACTGAATTTATGTTCAACCCTTTTATCAATCAATTTCAAATTAACTTCAATAAAATGGTCAAATATAGATTCAATTAAATGTTCGAATAAGCTTCAACTATTTTAAAACTTTTAAGAGCAAAGTAACAATGATATTCAAATTTTGTTCAATATTTATTCGACACTTAATTGAATCAATATTAGCCCGCAACAAAAAAGAGGGTATTTTAGTTTGAAGGGAAATTTTGGGCATATCTTTCAAAGAAATAAAATAATAAACACATTTCTCCAATTTTAAGCATTGTGAGGCATAGAAACTCAATTTTTCCAATCTATTTATCTCTCTATATATAATCCTAAAATAGTTTATATCACCTTCTCTCCATCTGTAACGTGTGTCAACCTCCTAAGAAAGGAATATATTTTAAATTCAATACAGAATCTGGACAAAAAATCAGCATTGGGACTTAATAGAAAAGGAAAATGGAAAATGGAAAATCGCTAGAAATACATGTACATGACTAATGAAATAATTAACATTTATATATGTGGACAATTGAATAACCTCAAAGGGTCTAAAGTCGCTTGGGTATTCAGTTTGCTGCCCTAATAATGGACATTTGAAAATTAAGAGAAATCATGCATGGAACAAAGATCCTAGAGAATAATGATAGGCCAAGAAAATAAAGTTCAAAACTATAACACGGTTTTCTTGGTGTTAATGACTCTGCAATTGCTATAGAAGAAAACTTTTGCACAATTTACAATATATTAGCATGCACGAATATGAGTAATGAAAACTACATCCTAACCAGAATGTTTTAAGTTCAGTCAGTACCCATAAAAATTTTAAACATGATCTTGTAGACCTTCATTCTAGGCCATATGCTAGTTATGTTGAAATCCATCTAGATAAGTTGTGTCAGTAATTCTTATTTTATATGCTTTTTGCGCATAATTGAGCATTCCACTTTACTAATTGATTTGTTTGGTGTCCACACTAGATCTGGCAAAGGGAAGCAACAAGCTTGCGGCAGCAATTGCATAACTTGCAAGAAAATCATCGGTAACTTCTCTTCACCCTTTGAGTCCATCAGAAATAAAATACTGCATGTCAGAGAAAAAATAGCATAAATGAAAATTCATCTCTTAAATTACAAGCTTATTTATCTTCTATGGAAAGATGCAAAATAACCCTATTTCATGTTTTGATTCTGTTTTCAGCCAAAAATAGCAAACGAATATAGCAAGTCAACAGCTTATATCATTATATTTGGTTAATGGATCATCAAATAAACCAAAAAAACGATGCCCTGGCAAAACTACAATATATTAAATTGCATCAATACGGTATATAACAATTATATCAGTTGCAAAATCGTTAGACTAGGTTTCTGCAGAATCAAATATTAAAAGTATTCATTAATTCAGTTACTTCACCAAAAACTACAGAAAATTTTAAGAAAGCAAGAGAAAGTTCTGTTGGCTAAAATTTTAAATAATGAGTGGTGAAGATAAACAAGAAACCAGAAGATAATGAGTTAATAATTACAGCTGCAAACTAATTTACAACTACGGTTAATCTTTTTAGCTATGTTTTCTATAATAACTATAATGAATGTAGATTTTAACGAGAATAAATATTTATTGAAAATTAATTTACCCAATCTATCTTAAAGCATAAGAAAGGAGTTAATAACTCTTATATTCAAATCATTAAAGATATATATGTAGGATTTATTACTTGTGTTCAAACACAAGGTGGTTTGACCGAGTATTTCCCTATTTCGGTTGGGTTACATCAAGGATCAGCCTTAAGCCCATATCTTTTTGCTTTAGTCATGGATGTTCTCACTAGACATTTGCAAGAGGATGTACCTTGGTGTATGCTTTTTGCTGATGATATTCTTCTTGTTGATAAGACTAGAGGAGTTGAAGGTAAACTTGAATTATGGAGGTCAACCTTAGAGTCTAAAGGTTTTCGCTTGAGTAGATCTAAAATGGAATATATAAAGTGTAATTTTAGTAGTAATAGATCAAGTGAGGGGATTGTGGCTTTGGGCGATCAAGTCATTAATAAGAATACACGTTTTAGATATTTTGGATCTATCGTTCAGAGAGATGGTGAAATAGATGGGGATTTTATCAATAGAATTCAAGTTGGATGGTTGAAGTGGAGGAATGCATCGGGCTTGTTGTGTGATAGAAAAGTACCCCTCAAACTTGAGGGAAAATTCTATAAGATGGCGGTGAGGCCTGCAATGCTTTATGGTGCCAAATGTTGGCCATTAAAAGAGAAGCATAATACTAAGTTAAGTGTGGCAAAGATGAGGATGCTTAGGTGGATGAGTGGCTTTACCCTTAGAGATAGGATACGAAATGAGCATATACGTGAAAAGGTTGGAGTAGCTCCAATAGAAAATAAGATTAGAGAGAGTCGTCTTAGATAGTTTGGTCACATATAACGGCAACACGGCAATACATTTTTTTATATAGTGTATATATATTAATGTAATATCATATTAAAAATGACAAACAATAATAAATGAATGACATGATAACTTGTCTAGCTTATAATATAAAATATCTAGTACAACCACAAAAATATAAGCAAATAATCACTTACTACAACATCAATCATTCAAGCTTCAACTATTAAGATTAACTTTAGAGGTTTGTTTTTGGCCTTCAATATCATCATCATTGAATATCACTACTTTCAACTCTGGTTCAACAAGAGAAAGATTGTACTTGTGCAAAAAGAGAGGAGATGAAAATACCTTCACTGACAAAGAGAAATAAAAATGAGAATATTTGATAAATTGGGGTATTAAATGCAGAAGTTGATTTGGTGTTGTGGATATGAAATAAGAAAGTTAGTTTAAATCTCGTCAAATATAAGAAGTTATATTTAAAAAAAATATATAAAATATTAATATACGTGTGTCGGACATGCGTGTCCAATTTGTTTTTAATATTTTTTTAATCGGACACGTTTTCGGCGTGTCCGACACGTGTCGGAGGAGTGTCGGACGAGTGTCGTGTCGGACATGGTGTCGGACACTGCACGCCTCTTTGAGGAGAAGTGTCAGTGCATCATAGCTACTAGTTTAACATTCAACATTCTGCTTCCAGCCTCTAGTTATGGCTTCCTAACGCATCCCGTGCCAACACCCTAACTACATGTTGCCTTACACTATTATGATGATTTCTCCAACCACATGACCTGGACTTTGTCTGAGCAGCCAAGCCTCCTCGTGAAAATCCTCCAGCTGCTGTGTTATGTTCGCATACCAGAATCACTCTCTATATCACATGCTACAAGAGGAACTAAGTTATTGAACCAATCAAGCCCCGCAACTTACCTAACTTTCTGAAACTGCCTTATCCCAACCCTTCATGGTGTAAGGTTATGGGCATTGTTATTCTCATACCATTTGAGTGTTAGCAAAGCTTAAGGATAAGGAGCTCGAAAATTGGATTGAGGCCAATAATAAACTGACGATATATGATGATCTAATGCAATGCCGCTCTTTTACCTTTCAACTAAGGCATTAATTATTTGGGAAATTATCAGAAATCAGATTTGGATGTTAAAGTTTTTATTGCCTTTATGTCATTGAAATCAAAAGAATAATTCTTGAAGCTCTATATGATGATGATCTAATGGATGAGAATATGAGATTATTGGACCGATTGCTTGAGCTGCTAAGAATTTGAAAGAGATGTTAAGCCATTCATTTTCTAAGAGAGTTTCAATATGTGAAACAATTGTCAAGATTTGACCTTGTAACTAAATGCTAGATCTTTAGTGTAATGATTTGATTTTGGAAGAGTTGCATCACTTTTTCAAGACCATAAGATCAAACCGTTCAGATTATTTTTTCTTTACAATGGAAATTCTCAAGACACTCGTTGAGAGGGAAAATATTTCAGCAAGGCTATTTCATGTCTCTTGAATAATCTTAAAATTGATGAAAGATATGTATGACATGAATATTATGCCATCAACAAAGAAGCTTGAAAAAATGTTGGCTGATTAAGCCTTGAACCTGAATCATTATTAGGCATAGTAATTCAAAGGCACATGTGCACGTTGAAGTGCTCATAGCAAAATAGTTACTATTGTATATTAAGAGAACGTTAAAACAAAATGCAAAATGATATGAATAGCTTTAGGGGCTATCAGTTGAGTGTATTTAAACTCAAGTGTATTTTAAATGTAGGGTAAAGTAAAATCTAATAGAGTTATTTGGTTGATTAAATAAATTCAAGAACCCATTTTTCTAGGCTAAAAGAAAATTAAATTATAAATGCTTGAATGCAAAGAGTTAGAGCACAATGATGTTGTCTTTCCTGATGAGGTTGACAATGTTAGTTGTGGTTACGACAATGGGTGGTCTATGATGAGCATTGGCGGTGGGACGTTGCCATTGGAGCTGAAATGAGCAGTATATGCAAGCGTTAAACATAGGAGGAGCATGCACAGAGTGGGGACTAGCTCTCCACAAATGCCAGGACACACGGGGACAAGCATATTGTGGGGAGGAGCACTTCGACAAACATGGGAAGTTGAAATTCGCTACATTCAAGGGACTTTCAAATTCCACAAAAACGAATTAAAGGATTAGTTCAAGTTCCATAAAAAAATTACGCTGAATTTATTTTTCACTCAACCAAAAAGTCAAACGTGTAAAATCTCCAAATTTGAATGCAATACACTCCTAAAACTCTCAACCAAATAGCACCTTCCTGAAACTTAGGTAGATGACATCAAATTATCTGAATAAGGCTCCTTGCGATCAACTGTCTTAGAGATCTGCAAAATAAGAACACTAATTGACCTTCGTTAAAAATGTATCATAATGTATAACAGTCATGCATCCAATTCAAGGATGCCTGATGAGCAATGGAAATTTACGAATGGGGAAAAGGGATTGCAGGGCTTCAGAATAAAAAGCAGAATTTTTTCAAGCCTAGATATGAGAAAGAAGCACTTATTAGGTCTCGTGATGAAATATTTAATACTAAATTTGATTGGATCTGGATCATAAAGGAAATAGAAGTCTCTAGTTTCTTTGTCTTGTTGCTCCATTCACAACACTCTCCCAGATTGTGTGAACCCTTGGCTAATTTTTTCCTTAACCATATGCTAGAGGATGGGTCTTAGCCAAGCTTTTGCACAGGTGATCTTATTAGAATTTAGAAATAAAAATAAACGAACTTGAGTTTGAGGAGCCTCCGGCCACTATTGTTGCTCGACAACCTATATAGATGAAAATGCATGTTGTTCCCCAATGATTATTGCTCACTTCATCACTTGTTGACTGTCTTTCCAATTTTTTTCACCATCAGATTGTCATATTGTTCATTAAAAAATGGCATAAGTATGGAGATATCAAAATTCACAACCAACAATTGTGATTGTTGATAATGCTAATAAATTCCTTATATTATTAATGAATTCTTCATTTGTAATGGTTAACTCTACATTCACACCACCATCGCAATCAAATTGTCATGGGATTTTAGCCATCTAATTCGGGATGTACGTCATCGTTCAAAGCTAAAGAATAATAATCACAGGATATCAGTTTCTTATTACTCTACAATTCACAATACCCATGTTCTAGCTCCACCTCCACCTCCACCTCCGCTGCCGCCACCACCACAGTCACCCCCAACAACACTAGAAAATTTTCTTTTGAGAAGATTGAACTAATATGAATCTCAATCATAAGATTCTTCTTCAATGATCTTCACTCAGTCCATTTAGTTTTTGCACATGTTGTAACTATGTTTCAAATATGTAATAAGTACAAATTATTCAATTTATTTCTTCCTTGATGCATTTTCGCAGCATTTAATAAGCCCTGTTTTAGGAATGTTCCATGATCCCTAATTCATAAAAGGAGCTCTAGTCTTATTATATAGGATCTAATGGCTTGATAAAATGTTAATTGAACATTACGCTTATTTTAATTTTTTTAATTTCATCTAAGTCATTAGCGGGTATTAAAGTAATCGCATAAAAAGCATCAAAGCTTCACCTATCTCTCCATGATGGATTTATTAATACCTCCTAAGTGAATCATTTAGTATGCTTAGGCTACAACCCTAATTTGTTCAATACTCTGACCCCATGTCCTTTGAACTTTCCAACCAAACAATTTATCTGTGTTACAACTGTTGTCACCCAGCTTAACATTACAATCAACAGCAAAACATAACTTGTAAAAATATATGAGGCACAGTAAGAATCAATGCTCAGCACGTACCGCAAGGATCACATTAATCGCAGATTATTTTAACTATATATCAAGAGGAATTTGAAATAAACTGTTTATGCTATAAGATGCTGTGACATCCTTGTTGATGCTAACAGGCAGCTGATGGGAGAAGATCTTAATGGGCTAAGTATCAAAGAACTACAAAACTTGGAGAATCAGCTAGAAAAAAGCCTCCAGGTGATACAGCAAAAAAAGGTCTGTAGAGCAACCACGTCAAACCATGCCCAGTTATATCTATCATTTCAACTATTTTTAATAATTTTTTGACCTCCTTTGTAGGACCAAATTTTAATCAATGAAACTCAAGAACTGAATCAGAAGGTAGTTCACACAAATCTGATTTTATAATTAATCAGCTGCTCAGACTAAATAATAAAATCTTTTTTTTCAGATTGCCCACATGCAACGAGAAAACATGGAACTCTACAGAATGATAAACCTTTGTCGCCAAGAAAATATGGACTTAAACAAAAAGGTGCTCGTCAAAGAAGAAATCAACTCTAAATAGCAATAAATTTTAAATCCAGCAAAATGTAAATGTTATAAGTAATTAAGCTGATTTTCATATGCTGCCTGACATAAGAATTGGTTCTCAGGTTAATGCAACTAAAGGATTCAAAGGAGGATCTACTTCTTCAAACTCTGGCAGTCCGGTAACAATTTATCTTGAATTGAGCCCTCCGCAACAGAAAATTAGTGGAATGCACGAGGACTTCCCAACATTAGGGTGAATTTCTTTTTTATTCCTTTAAGGGTACTGCACATAGTCATCATCCTAGATTTAATTGAGGAAAACTCCTTGAATTTGCAGCAGACTCCAACTGCTTTAAGATGTTCCAGGAAAAGTGGATGATTCTCCGTGATCAAGATTCTGTACAATAGGAATATTACATTCCTTGGAGAATGTAAGCTCAACACTCACAATTCAATTAAAGTCAAAGTTTGAAATTACCACAAAAGAACGAGTACATATGTAATGCTATATAATGCTTAGTGGATACAGTATTTTCTTTGACAAACTTGAGCTGTCAACTTCAGTATGACTTTAACAAACTTTTCTTGAGTATGACTTTAACAAACTTTTCCTAATGTATGGTAAATGAGACCTACGCAACTTCAATCTCAGAGGAAAAAAACATCCCATGGTGGCAATTCAGTAATTATTCTTTTCCACCAAATATGAATCACATTAAAATGTATTCTAGTAAGTAGATTGTCCGACATACATTAGACTTCCCAACATGTGATTTTTTAACACCATCTGAATTAACTAGACCTAACCAGCAGTACAGATCTCCAAGATGGTACCTTCATAACTTCTTTCCAAACAAATTTGACCTAACCAGGATGAATAAAGATCTGCAACATGACCACACCACCTCGTTTCATGTTTACAAATTTTTCTAAGGGGCTTTTTGGATGTAGAAATTTTGAACGCACTGCATTTCAAATGTAGGAGTTTTAAGTTTTTGTGCGTTCGGTTCAAGGTAAGCTAAATCTAAAGTATTGAGAAAAGGATCAAAATGATCCTTCAACTCTTTGAGAAGGACCAAAATGGTCTCCAACTCTTTTGAAGGACTAGGTCCCTCAACTCCTTTAAAAGGAGCATCTTTTGTTCTAACATCAAAATTTTGGGATTAATGGTGTTAAATCAATGAGCATTTTAGTCATTTTTAATTAAATTATTTATTAAATATAATTTTCAAGTAATAGTATTTCAAAAAAAATTATTAAACATTTCTTTAATTAAAAAATTATTAATAATTCTAGTCTATAATGATCCTAAAATAAAACTAGATCCCCCCTCCCCTCTTTTAAAACAAGAGCACAAAAACATTGCCTCCAATGGGGAACCAATAAATGTGCAACACATACCACCTCATATAGATTGAAGCAAAAGGTCCATTTTGAACAAACCAGCACCCCACTCTTCTCACAATGCACGTTAGTTAAGAGTGTTTCTACTAAATAATCAAGAAACCTAAACAAATTCTCTTGAATTCTTCAAATTATAATTCAACATAACATTATACAGATTACATTGAATATTTCTTGTAGGATAAAATCATCAATGATCATGAACAAAAAACTGGAAAATGGCGCTAAACTATGTCCTTCCCTTAATTATCCTTCAAAGCTATTATTACATCTAATAAGTAGATGTCAATTCTAAGCTGCCATTCTCAAGACATCATCAATCATTTTTAAATAAAACTTTAAAACAAGATAATGAGATAAAAATAACATGAAACAATACAAGAGATTGTAAAATGTAAGTGTTAAAATCAAAAACAAAACTTAAGGTGACATGATGATATCAGAAAGAAGTATCTATTTGAAACAATGATGAGCTTCTCAAGAAAAAACCCGCATTTGTAGAGTCTTATTTCTAGCCTAGTGAATTTTAGAGTAGCAATAATTTTTTTTTCTAATTCCTACCCCTCATGTCAAATAGGACATGAAATCTCGCATATACTTCGGCTTCTATGCTCATAATCTAACATGAAAATGATACAATTGCATAAAATTTAGGAATCAAAATCATCAAAAATGGGAGGAGGATGAGGGAATGACTAGTCTGGATGAACTAGACCAATGTCCTTGGACGCAATATGAGATGTTGATCACATCTGTGGGGTTAAGGAAAACAAGAGAAGACTCTGAAAGCTTTTATACCATGATAGGGATCAAGAGAAGATTCCAAATTTTATGTGAAAGCTCAGCATCCAACAAACATGAAGATAGAACTCGGTCATGTGTATACAAAAATTTGATCACATCTCCTTATTCCAGAATGTAAGGATGAATAATAGAAGGTTAGTTTCGGATGAGTTTTGAAATATTTGGAGTGGCTATGTCCAAAAATGTTACATAAACAATAGGATGAATGCCTTCAAAGTTCAAATTTGAAATTTTGTCAATAACCACAAGAAGAACCAATCTAAACGCCCTTATCCAAAAGAATAGTCATGTCCATTTGAATTACAAGCCTAGCCATAGATGATCTAGAAAGACAAGCAGTAACATCATTCATTTGCAAGGGTTTACCAAAAACAGAACCCAGAGAATATAAAATAAACGAAGCTGAGAAAAAATAGCCCAAACATAAATGATAGGTGAATTCCACATATGAGTTAAAAGAGAGATAACTTTAACACATGCATTGGATAGCCACTCACATAATATTATTGATGTGTGATAAATCTAGAATAATCTGGTTACCAAACCCAACAGAGTATTCTCCAATCAAGCAAAAAGTTTAAATAAATAAATGTATAATCTCAAGGACGGGATAGCCCAATAAAAACTTGCCCATAATACAGAATTGCTACCTCAAAAATCTCAACTTGAGTGAGAATAAGAGAATGCTTATTTGATTCCAAATAACCAACAAATTCACATTTAAATTTAATCCAAGATAAAACAAGAATTTAGGCCGACAAATGAATCTTTCCCTATGAATAGAAGCTTGTAACTAGAAGCTAGCACACATGCAAAGATTAAAAATTGCAAGAAGATAAAACCTCAAATTATCTATTTATGCATTTCTCATCCCTAGGCTGATAGATATGATTGGCACAAGATCAACTCTATCTGATTCCAAAGAACCTTCAAATTAACATTTAAATTGTATCCAAGAAAAAAAAAGAATTTAAAAAGTCACATGAGTACTTTCCTTTCTAAATAGAAGCCCAAAAATAAACTCTTGAATAAAAAATCTCGGATAAATCTTCTTTAGTCCTAGAAGTAAATAAGATCGATATATACAATGATTGTTACAATCTTGGAAATAACGAGAGGACCTACAATTATGCATCAATCTACCTAGATTGAAAACATTCAACTCAAATGAATTGAACCATTACAATCTTGGTGATAAAGAGAGGCCCTACAATTATGCATCAATCTACCAAGATTGAAATCATTCGAATCAAATGAATTGAACCATTAATGTTACATAACAACTCAATAAGAACTGTAGGTAACCTTCAATTGAACATAAGGGTTGATCTTTAAGGTATCCAATAGCTAAGACAACCTATTCTCAAAACAATCATATGGGCATAATGATCATTAAGAAATAAATACAATTTCATAAGGCCAACATTATAAGCATGCTCTAATTGCAATTAAAGAAGTAGCAAACTAAAATAAAATAAACCAACTAAATGAAATCAAATAAACTTTCTCAAATAATTGCTTATTGCTTCTAATGAGCATAAACATCAATAAGATTATACATATGAAAATTTGATTATCTCAAAATACACGTAATTGATCAAATATTCCCACTATTTTTAGTTGGAGAAATATACATGAAAGTTCATTTCGAATGAACATACCCTCAATAAGAGATAACACCTTGCATATGTGAACTCATTAAACTCCAAAGTCATTAGAAACAAGTTTAAACTAGTTTAAATTTGAAATTAGTTTGAACTACAAGGAAGACATGGCAGGGACAGAGAAGAGTTCCCAAGGAAAAAAAAAGTTTTTGGAAAAGGCATCAAAGAATCGGCAGCATGTGAAACGAGGTTCGCATGATAATGCATCATAGGACTAGTGGCACATGCGAAGAGTTAGCTAGAAGGCATCACAAGACCAGCACTTGCAAAGAAGAAAGGAGTTCAAAAGGAAGGCAACGCGAGACCCACGACATGCAAAGCAAAAGAGGAATTCAAGAGGAAGGCATCGCAAGGCCAACAATGTCTGTGATGGAGTTCATTAAGGCATGGCAAGTGCAACAATGTGCGTGAAGAGTTTGTGGAGAAAGCATTGTGGGACCAACATCGTGCAAAGGAGAAGAGGAGAACGAGGGAAAGGCATCACCAGACCAGCGGCATACAAAGGAGAAGCATAGTTCATGTAAAAAGGTAGCGCAATACAATTGACTGGTGAAATAAATCTTTCATAGCAAGCGTTCGAGAACGAAGAGAATGAGGTTCAAACCACATTTGAATGACATTCGAAACAATGTTTGAACTAAGATCTAATGAAATTCGGTATCATGTTTGAATTAAGGTTGGAATTTGTACTAGGTTGAGCCAATTTTGTTTGCAACTGACTTATATATACAATTTGCTAATACAAAAGCGATTAATTTCATCCGAAATAAATTTTATGGAAATCATAAATTTAGCGAAATTAGCAATATATTCAAGACATTTAAAGTTGATTTCTCATGAAACTACATCCTTCTTAGGCCAATGTCATCGAATTCAATTAACTCAACATTTAAATAATATATCATGGTCAAAATCATTCATTTTACCTGCCCAATTCACCTAAATCTAATTTACACAATAAAAAAGTGCACTTAATTATTAAGCCTAGCAACAAATTGCAACACATGCCTCAAAACTCTTTTTTCATTCAATTCAACAATGTCAACCATCATGGTGCAATCTGTATGATATGCCAAAAAACTTAAAGGGCTCAAAACTTAACAAGAAAAAAGGGATACACCAAAAATAATGGAGATAGAAGTTGATTACAAGAATGATATATATTGATGTAGGCAAGGAATGGGTCAAAACAAGTTGAGTTGAAAATTTTGTAAGTTCTACTTGAATCAGCTCATTAATGAGCCTCTTCTTATGTTTCAAGCTCATAAATGCTTTCCTCTATTAGATATCAGCTCATTAATGTCTAGTAGAGAGCCTTTTTAGCTCATAAATTGAGGTTCATTCCCCCATTTGTAAATTGAGGTTCATTCCCCCATTTGTTGTCATTTTGGTTCCCGTGGATGGCTCTTTGGTTCCCGTGGATGGTTTCTTGGTTTTCCATGCCTTGGCTCCTTGGTTTCCCCGGTTGGCTGCTGGTTTTCCGTGTTGGGTGGTCTTTCCCGTGCCTTGGTGATTCGGTTCCATGCGGGCCTCCTTAGTTCTTGCGGCTGCCTCTTCGGGTTCCGCCTGGGCTGTTTTCCCGTGACTTTTTGGGGGCTTTTCCGTGGCTATGGTGCTTCGTTTCCGGGAAGTGACTGTTGGTTTTTCATATTCCCTATTTAAATAAGCTTAAATTAATGTTATGTGACTGTTTGTATTCCCCCTTTCATACCTATAAATGAGGGGTTATGTGATGTTTTGGATATGTTATGTGAATAATTTTTGGAAATGTAAACCTGCGGGTTTCATGGAAAAGCTTGCGAGCTTTGTCCACTTCTTCTTCTCATCCCCTCCGGAAATCTTGCGAGCTCTTTCCAACCTTCGTCTTGGCTTCTAACCTCTTTCGTCTCTCCGCAAGTGCCACTCCACCTGTATCCCTCTTCTCTAAGTGAAGCAATTTAGGGTGTCTTTAAAATTAGACTAATAGTGAAATGGATATGCTAAGTAGAACAAACTCAATCTACATGGATGAAAAGAGCTAGATAACCGTTCCTCAAGCAATAATGATGATGCACCACAGAGGAAATTTTTTTATAGTAATCCAACTTCAGGATAGCAATCATTGATCTTGAATTCATAAATGCTAACTTTGTTATCAAACTTTATGACAGATGAAGTATAAATGGGTGATGGGTAGCCATCATCCAAACAAAACCATTTAATTAAATGCACGCATGCAGATTTTATTTGATTAAGTGCTTTTAATTAAATAAAAAACAGTTCACAAACAAAGATTAGCGTGCTAAGAAGTTCATAAAACGTGAGACTTAAGTTTCTAAATAAAAAAAAAAATTGTAGGATAGCACTATATGGATCATTCAATAAAAATATCTTCAACAAACTTCATAGAGACCAAACCTAATTTGCTGAGGAAAAAACACAAAAAATAAATCAACTTCAGCAAGTTGGGTGGATCCCAGTCATTGGCCTACTGTCATTGGCCCTGCAAAGTTGGGTGGATCCCTTGCCCTTTCGGTCTAGCTCATAGATTTCCAATTTTGTCAACGTTTCCATACATGATAATGATACCTTGTTTCCCTTTGCTTCTTTAACATCTTCCATACATGATCATGTTACCTTGTTGCCCTTACCTTTTTGGTCTGGCTCATAGATGCGCTCATGTTCATACTGTCTTTGGCCCTGAAGACTAGGATGGCTCCCTTGCCCTTTCAGTCTGGTTCATAGATTTCCAATTTTTTTTAACATCTTCCATAGAAGATCATGATACCTCGTTTTCCTTGGCTGTACAGCAATGCCATCTTCTCTGTTAACTGCACCTAAAGATTCATCACCACCTTCAATTCTCACGCCCTTTGTTTCTCCTAAGGTTCCTTCTCATATATTATCCAAGCACCTATGATTGTTATTTCTACTGCTGGCAATGCCCCCCAATCATTTGCTTAATTTTATTGGAGAGTTGATGCCTTCAAGACCTCAATAAATTTTGTTTATTCAATTCCCATTATTTTTTCCAATAAAGATTAAATCCCACCACTTTTCAAGGTAAACATGTTGTTCTTTTTACAGAATCTGAGATTTCTATGTTAGCAACTCAATTCGGTTTCTTTATAGCGGCAAATTCTCAATAGGGTGCCAAATCTTGAGATTATAAGTATATTTCATATTTGAATTTGACTAGATAATATTTTATTAGGCCTATACATCCTCACCAAGAATGAATCCAAGATTAATGATTACCTTCAACCCAAGTAAGAAAATTAGCTAGATCTACAAAAATCAAAACAAACAAATTAAGACAGAAGACCTAAAGCAATAATTAATATGCCCCCATTGAGACCTTAAGGTCGTTGGTTCCAACAATAAAAATAGTCCCAAATGTAGTGTAAGACCCCAAACACTAATGGGAGCCTCAGGCACTTCATATGCTTCCTTAAAACAAATTAATTAACCCTAAAAACAGTTTTGATGCATGGCTAGAAAATTTTTTCAGAACTAATGTTTTATGAATCAAGTTTTCAATCATGATAATGAATCTGTGCAAGCTTGCAGAAGAATACCAAATTCCTTCCCAAACTATTGGTTCAAGACATCTTAAGCTAAATATGGTAAACAATAATAATTATAATAATATTATTATTATTATTATTATTATTATTATTATTATTATTATCAGTATTAATGAACTTGCATTACTAAAGATGCAACTGGAGATAGCATAGGAAACAGATTAAGGAACACCAATTTCTATACATCCTCTATCTGATGGAGTCATCCTCTACTAGCCAGAATTATAGCAGAATTTTCTAATACTCCGTGAGTAATGAATCTAAGCAACAAGATAAGTGTATTTAAAACACCACATAAGTAGGATTTCATGAATTTTAAAGCTAATACAAACACATGCAACACATTAGAATAAATTAGATAAATTTGAAAAGCTATTGACGATAATATAATTGCACTTATTATTCAACAACATCTAAAACAAGAATAGCAAACTAAGTCTTTCAACAAAATGATCAAATTTAAAGGTCCAAAAAAGTGATCTACCTTTGGATGAAGATATATTGCGTTGATTTTCTTGCAAGCTATGCAATTTCTCCCTCAAGCTTACTTCCTTTTCCCAAACCTACTGACCAGTTATAAGATATAAAAGTGAGTTGTGACTTTCAAGTGAACCGATTCAAAGAAGAAAAAAAAATTAATGTTATTTCATGGGGTACAACTTCTAACAACTTTAAAAAAATAAAAAAATAAACTAATTTCACAACAAAAAGGGTATACAAGTATTACATAATTTAACATTCTCAACAAATGAATTTAAATCACTTTAAGCTTGTTAAACGTGCAAGTTGCTCTTTACGTTAAATAAAATATATCTACCTTTTAAGACATACATTTTAAGATCCAAAATTTATGAATGAAGGTATTCCTCATAAGCAACCCATTTCTACCGATTGTGGTGAGAAGTTGGCCGAGTTTTGCTAGAACACTATGGATATTGTCTCATCTAGTCATGTTCAGCATCAAACAAAAGGTTAATTGTTGATTTTTGCTTTCTTAGTAGTTTGATGTATTGTGACTTATATTTGATTTTTTTTTTAATTTCTTTTGAGTTTATTTGGTAATTGATGATGAATTTTATTATTTATGGAGATTTCTTTGTAAAAATCCCTAGAGGTCTTTAATTCTATGAAAACGACCGAGGGGATTAGCATGAGAGCATATATTATGATAACAAGAGTTTGATTACAATTGCCTCTTCATATCTCTTGGTGACCACCTCATATCCCTCTATTCTCCAATATTACCCCTTTCGTGCATCTACTCTTCTTTTCCCATCTCTTCTTCCTTTTCCCCCTTGCGACCAACTGCATAACACATAAGAAACCAAATAACTCTTTGATTAAAATCCCCATACTACATCAGAGGAAAATAATTCATGATGCATTTTTTTTCATTGCAAAAAGAATGTTCCTAGAAAATCCTGTACTATCATGTTGTCCAGAACTTGGACAACCAAAGCAACAATTTCGGGTTGTCGCCTACCTCCCCAAATCCTCATTCCCCTCAGGTTGCCACCTACCACCCCAAACTATCATGGATTGATTCTCAGTGAAAAGTGAACATAAACAACTCCTTGTTATCCATAAAATACAAACAATGGCATCCTTCCAAACAAGTAATGAACTATGATGTACCGACACACCTTCATAAGAGGGTATGCAGTGTTGGACACGAACACGCGCCCAACACTGCTGGGACATGTGTTGGACATGGAAGAGCCATGTTGAATTAAAATAATATTAAAATTAAAACATGCATGCATGTCGAACACGCGTTTCCTAATATTTGATGATTAAATTTATTCAAATCACATAATTTTAACATTTTAATATTCTTTTAATAAAATGAAATTGCGTCTGACATTCAGTATATCCTGTATTCAAGCGTTAGTGGCGTTGTATGCTCTAGGGTTTCACTTTTCACGATCTCGTCTCCATCCTCTTCTTCCTTTACGCGACCAAGCAAGTTAGGCAAACTAACTAAGCGAGCGACTGTTCGATTGAAGCCAGATACATCCACATTTCCTTTTCGTCTTCTCCAATTCATCTTCTTCATTCATTTGTTTTCGACTCTTCATCCATTCTGCAACGAGGTGAGGCCAACTAAACAAGCAACTGCTCAATTTTAAGTCTGGTACGTTCGATTTCATCCATTCTCTCATACTTCTCTTCATTTCCGCACAAGCATATGACTATTCGTCTGCGCCATTTCCGCAAGCACCAAGGGCATTGAAAGTTTCAATTCTTGTGCCTATTTTGCCGGCGGTAGCGGAGTGATGCGAGCAAAAATTTGGGAAGGGCCCCAAATTTTTGCAAGCAAAGACTAAACTTTCCTAGGTAATAAAAATTACAAAGATTGCCCCAAAATAGACAAATAACAACAAAAACAAACTTTAATATTATAAAAGAAGCTTACAAGACGCTTACAAACTTTGACGACATAAAGACAACTTAAACACCTAAAGTTGCTTTGCTTTGAGAAGAAGGATACAGGTGGAGTCGAACTTGCGGATAGAAAAAAGAGATAAGAAGTCCAAGACGAAGACAGGACAAGCTCACAAGCTTTCCTAGATAGAGAGGAGAAGAGGTGGAACAAGCTCGCAAGCCTTTCCAAGAAAACCCGTAGGTTTTATCCAAAAATCACTCACATATCATCTCTTCTTCATACAAAACATCTCCTATTTATAGGCAAAAGGAAGAAGCTAAACAGCCACAAAACCCCCAACTAAATCCAATCAGATTTAGGGAATATGGAAGACCAAAAGACAGCAAACAGCTGCAGGAAAACTGCACAGAAAATAGGGAAAATTCCATGGAATTCCGCCTCAAACAGCCACAGGAATCCAGCCAGCAAGGGACCCGAAAAATCAGTACAGGAGCCAAAGCAACAATCCACGGGAAACCTGCCAGCAAGGGACCCGAAAAGCCAGCAAAAGAGACGAAGAGGCAGGGCACGGGAAACAAACAAGCAAGGGGAAACCGAGAAGACAAAGGGAGGAGAAGAGGCACAAGTCAAAGTAGGGGAAACCAAAGAGACTAAAGTAAAGGAGAATGAACCAAATAAAGATAATTTATGAGCTGAATTAAGTAGTGGGAAAGTATTTATGAGCTGAAACATAAGTAGAAAAAGCTCATTAATGAGCTAATTTTAGAAGCTCACCAAAATTTAAACTCAACTTGTTTTGACCTCACCCTTGCCTACATCAATTCTCCTCCACTTAAAAAAGCTCATCTACTGATGAGGAAGCTTCAAAATTTTGGAGATCCGGCATTTCAGATTCTTGGATTAGAAAATCATACTTTCGTTTGATGGCTTCCCTTTCTCGTTCAAATTCTGCTAGAAGTAAACGTTTCTTGGACTCGAATCTCTTGTCACATAATTGCAGTTGTTCTTGAATCCTGAGTAGTTCGATCAGTATCGGGTTAGAAGAACTTTTTGTGGCGAGGTCATTGGTTTTGAGTCAAAGCTTTTTCAAAATCTTTTGGCTTACTTTCATGATTGCTTTCCACTTGATATTTATCAATCTTAACTTAAAAAGACACAAGACTTAAGAAGACACAAACCTAGGCTCACGCACAACAATCATGACACACCTAGACTCACTAGACAAAAACTTGATTAAATGACCTAGGATATACCAACTTGCTCTGATACATAATTGATGAAAACAAAAATTTGGGAATGGCCCCAAATTTTTGCAAGCAAAGACTAAACTTTCTTAGGTAATAAAAACTACAAAGATTGCCCCAAAATAGAAAAATTAGACAAATTGAAACAAAAACAAGCATTAATATTATAAAAGACGCTTACAAACTTTGACGACATAAAGACAACTTAAACACCTAAAGTTGCTTTGCTTTGAGAAGAATGATACAGGTGGAGTCGAACTTGCGGATAGAAGAAAGAGATAAGAAGTCCAAGACGAAAAGAGGACAAGCTCGCAAGCTTTCCTAGATAGAGAGGAGAAGAGGTGGAACAAGCTCGCAAGCCTTTCCAAGAAAACCCGTAGGTTTTATCCAAAAATCACTCACATATCATCTCTTCTTCATACAAAACATCTCCTATTTATAGGCAAAAGGAAGAAGCTAAACAGCCACAAAACCCCCAACTAAATCCAATCAGATTTAGGGAATATGGAAGACCAAAAGACAGCAAACAGCTGCAGGAAAACTGCACAGAAAATAGGGAAAATTCCATGGAATTCCCCCTCAAACAGCCACAGGAATCCAGCCAGCAAGGGACCCGAAAAATCAGCACAGGAGCCAAAGCAACAGTCCACGGGAAACCAGCCAGCAAGGGACCCGAAAAGCCAGCAAATGAGACGAAGAGGCAGGGCACAGGAAACAAACCAGCAAGGGGAAATCGAGAAGACAAAGGGAGGAGAAGAGGCACAAGTCAAAGTAGGGGAAACCAAAGAGACTAAAGTAAAGGAGAATGAACCAAATAAAGATAATTTATGAGCTGAATTAAGTAGTGGGAAAGTATTTATAAGCTGAAACATAAGTATAAGAAGCTCATTAATGAGCTAATTTTAGAAGCTCACCAAAATTTAAAATCAACTTGTTTTGACACCACCCTTGCCTACATCACGGAGAGACCTGTTAGTATTTTTTTATTGTGAATATTTTTTTTTCTTAATGCTAATTTCAAGCACATAAAAATTTTTCCTTACTATTTTCTTAATGCTAATTTCATCCAAGGTTCCGACTATGTTTAAGTGGAGAGATCTGTTCTACGCTATTCCTATGTTTCTTGTTTTTTTTTTTCTTTGCTCTTGCAAAGTTCTTTGGATATTTAGAGGATTTTTGTGATCAAGAATCTTTGGTTGATAGATGGAGGATGGATCCAAAGATGCGGTGGTTCATTCATAGAGCTTCAGCATCGCTTTTACAAACAATCGTAATAAAACTTCTTGGTCAAGCTTCATCCTCCTCTTATTATGAGAAATTGAATTGCATACTCATTCACTCAATCGATGAGGAACAAATTACTCCAACAGGCTAAAGATTTATTTTATGTGCATACAAATATTCGTCTTCTATCAAGAAAGACCACTTTATATATAAAGTGATAACAAGATGTGCGATATTGCTTGAGATGGGTTCGAGTGCCTTGATGATATGGGAATATTGGAGATTGTAAATCTTTCTCTTGAAGAACCAGAGTAGGAAGCAATGATATTCAATGATGATGATATTGAAGACCAAAAACAAACCTCTGAAGCTAATCATATTATTCCTTTTAATGAGCAATTGAAGTTTGATGTTATACTAATTGATTTTTTGCTTATATTTTTGTTGTTGTAACAAACATTTTGTACTAAACATTTTATATTATAAACTGGACAAGTGTTTGCTCAAGAAAAATGACGCATCGGCATGAATCCCGCTTTGCAGACATAGGATTTCATTCTCCTTAAGTCAGATTGTAATTAACCAGATTTTTCCTGAGGGTAGTATCAGGGTTTAGTTAGATCTAAACCATTATTTCCCATGAGCGCAAGCACTCATAGTTAATTACCCCTCTTAATGCGTAAAAGAGAACTCTCGATTAAAGATAAATAAT